CTCATGACGGTTCGTCAAGGGACCAGAAGGCCCATGACGCATACAAGGAAGAATCAAGAAGCCTTGGCGTTTAAGACAAGGACTCATGATCCGTGGAGGACTCCTCTCCACTAACATAACCGACTAGAGCTCCTGTTAACCTAGGCCTCCGGTATTCTTATATAAACCAAGGCTAGGCTAGTCGGCGGATCATATTCTAGTCACACAGCGATCTCCCGGTAGATCAACCTATAATCTGTACTCCTCCGAAATCAATACAATCAAAGAAGGACGTAGGTTGTTAGCTCTTCGAGAGAACCCGAACCTGGGTAAATCCTTGTGTCTCCTTTCACCATCGCACCAAGGCTGCCTGTTCGGACCCCCACCCGAGATCTGCTGGATTTGACTCCATCAATGGGGAACTGGGAGAGAGATGAGAGGAGAAGTGAGTGAGATGGAAACTGGGAGTGAGAGATAAGTTGTGCAGGTTTTCGTTCACGTCAATGTGCAGTTCCAACGAACAATTCCGCGAAGCTTATATGTCTCATGTACTGCTTCAAGGTCTGTTGTGTTCTTCCAATGACAACGAGTGCATTCACGTGAGATGGTGATAAACCGGACACCAGATGTATAAAGTTCTCGTTTAAGAAAGGATTTTGTCAGGGCCTACCCTACAACCAGCAAGATGCATGCTGCAACTGGTAGCAAGATATGTTGCAAACGTAGGGACAAAATGCTGCAAGGTCTGTTGGACAGTGCTCAGTCCCGCACGAATCTCCATGCTAAGATCTAACGGCTATGCAATCAACTGAGACTTGATTAAATCTCATTCGACTGACTTTTAGCAAGCCCGTTAATTAGGGGTGTTGTTGGATGCGCAGGCGGCAGCTAGAAACCATGTTTAGTAGCTCATTTATATTTTCTTCATGTAATAGTTTGCACACTTGGAGGCGACAAGTGGGCGTACCCATACGGAAACCAGAATAGGTTTGTCTAGTTCTTAGGAAAAACATACCCTTCCACCCGTGTGTGGAAGATTACTAAATCAGTAACCGAGTGGTGTTCAGAGACTATACAGGCTTTTTGTTAAAAATGTTTTGGCAAAAAACGTATTGCTACCTACATCTAAGCATCATCTGTACTTCGGTTACATATATAGTACATGAAGCACTTTAAGCACCATGGCTGCCATGAAGGAACTGATACACTTCTGCAAACACAAGGCATCCAAAAATATATTCTTTTGAGCATGGACAACAATACAACAAAACAAGCAATAAAATTCTTTTAATTGGTACAAAGCAAAATTACAACCACCGCGTTATCCCTCGAAGAACTGTGCTTTCAGCTTCAAGCTCGGACAGAATGCTGCAATGACTTTTGAGTTCCTTCAAACAGATCCAGCAAAAGTTCCTCCAGATCCTCAGGCCTGTACTTTATGTAGCGATCTCTCTGCTTGGTGCCATCAAGGAAGGCAGAGTATCTTCCCACAAATGTCCTGTAAGCCTGTATGACTTTCAGTGATATGGAAATCCTGACATCTTCGCGGAGTTGGTCATCAGGGACAGACCATGCAGTCTGAACTCGATAAACATCTTCAAAGGACAGGTTGAAGTTTTTGAACTTCTCCCTGATGATTTTACGAGAAGCGGCACCTCCGGCGGCACATAGACCATCATCACTCAGGTAAGAGAGCACCTGACTCCACGACGCCCTCTCGTAGTTGGTCGCCTGATGCTGAAACATCCGGTTGTGCAGCCGGATCCAGTCGTCGCCAAGAAAGCTCTTGAGATCCGAGTTCTTCACTTTCTGGACCATGTAGCAGATATTGTTCATCATAAAGATGTTCCGCAATCGACAATCTCTGTACAATCTAGACCCGGCTTCAAGATTTGCTTCTAAAACTGCAGCAACAGACTGCAGATGCAATGCTGTAGCCGTGAAATGAGTGCATGAGTTTGGTATAGGCTGTTGATCTGCATCCTTCAGCAGTGAATCAAGAGTTTTGCTGTAAACAGTGACAGCCTTTATATAGTTCATGACATACTTGGTGAGGGGATGCACTGCACCAGTAGGCACCGCACTGGATGACGTGTAGGATTGGATGGCATACTTGAATTCCGCAAATGTTTTCCTTGCTGATTCTCCCAGCTGGAGTAGGACTTCATGATACTCAGCTAAAACCATATCATTGCCCCCTGCTTGGAACAAGAACTCTGCTTCAGGCAGCAGATCATCCAGGACCTCATACATATCAAGAATCCGGAAAAGCTTTTCCGGCTTAGGTGGTCCAATTGCTACAGACTCATAAAAGCTCAGAAGCTGCATGACCGAGCTAAATGAAATCTCATAGAAGCACAAGTCTACAGCTGTTTCTGATAGGTCACCAAAGACAAGACTGCTAAGGCGCCTCTCGCTCGCAAGGTAGACTCGGACAAAAGCCTTCATTGCCCGATTCCACCGCTTTATCGATGCGCTCAGTTTGTTCCATTTAGTGCTCATAAGTTCTTCCATGCTGTGCTTGTCGATGTGAAGAGTCCCAATGAACTCATCTATTGCACCCTGCCGTGCATTGATATAAGCTTGGCAACACTCGTTATTGTAGTCACTCAGGAACATGAAGTTGGCAATGGACTTGACAGCAGAGAGTGCACCAGGTTGGATCAAATCAGCCACAAAATATTCAGATCCTCCGCTGCTACCGGTTTGTGTTGACTTGCCTTCACTTTGTTCCTCACTGAATGAGCTGCTTGAAAACTCATCCGTGCTGCCATCCTCTGTAGAATGGAACGAGAGAAGTTCCTGTTCTAACGGCTGTTTGTAGTATGTAAGAAGGTAAACAAACTCCTCTTCGAGCCTCGCCATCGCCATTTCAAAAAGGTCATCAGCATACACGGTCAGTTCCTTGTGCTCTTTGGCTTCTCCACCAGGGTCCAAATTACCTAACTTCTCAGACAGCTGCCGCAATTTGTATAACACTTCTAAGTACTCAAATGAGTTCTGTGGATCATGAACATGCAAGGAGTTATGAAAATCCAAACTAAGGATCTTCTTTCGCAATGCCTTGAGCGCAAGCTTGATATCACATATCTCTAGTTCTTCTCCCAGCTGGATGTTTGAGCATTGCTTATCTAACTCAGGAGCCATCATTCTGTAGATTTATATTCAGCGTCTTCGCGTTTCCTTTCCCTGTTTCACATGTTTATAACAAAGATCAGGTCCAACTCCAAATTTGGAAAAGCTTCAGATGAAGAACACTTAAGGTAGTGAAGATCGTATCATCAGAAGTATTGCAAGACATGGACAATGCAAAAGAACAAACAAAGCAGACACTGGGAGCTAAATTAACGAAAATATTCATTTGAGCACCTCGAGCGACTGATGTATATATACAGGGATGTCATAACACAATTACCAGTAATGGTAGCAAGAGAACATGGCAGCCCTACGGTTAAAGGTGATATTATCCTCCTTTTCCCCTAGTTTGTTGCTAACCGCGCAAATCTCCTTATTTACTCAAATTTCAAAAGGTTAAAAACATGAATGCAAATTTCCTAGGTTGGATTTGATTAGGTTGCCACAAAGGAGGCATATAGCAGGAACACCACCTGCCACTTCTTGTTCCGAAAACATAAAACAACTTATTAACTTTGAGCTATAAATAATATTCATTAGGTTAATTTGATGCACATAAACCAAAAAAACGGCTGATTCCTCAGTACTTTTAGAACACCTTTTGCTAGCATCTCCATCAGAAGTTAAGGATACTGCCGATTGGGCCATGGTGACTTTCCAAAAGAAAAAACGGCAACAAACGACAGCTACAAAGGATAGTAGTACTATTGTTACAGATTACTACGTTATTACTACTGCATAAGTTCGTCCATATTTACCAGTTTAAAAGAATTACGCCAAAGTTTTCTCTACTAGTTACCACTTTCTGTGAAGATCTTCCTACCGGAAGAGGAAAATCCAATACCAAGGACAACCACAGCCAGTCCGTCTAAAACTCTGAAAACTGGCAGTTCAGATGCCCACTCTGAAAACAAACCAGCCCAAGTTCTAAACCGGAAAAAAGTTAAGAAAGCGGATGCTGCTCCCCCCAAAAGAAAAATGAAAAATAAAGGCCCTGGCTAGAAGGGTGATATGAGGAACTCACCGCAGCACTGGCGAGCTGCTGCTTCGCTTTCCCCGGCCCCGGCGGCCGTACTGGAGCCCGCCGGCGCAACCCAAGATTGGTTGCAGAATAAAAGGAGAGAGAGAGAGAGAGAGAGAGAGAGAGAGAGAGAGAGCAGGGGAAGAGCAGAGTAGAGAAGAGGGGAGAGGGAGACGGGATTGGAGTGGGCAGGGGAGGAAGGTCAGGTGTGGGAGGGCAAGTCAAGTCAACCCGAGGGTGGCGAGGGCGACGGCGAGGGGCGAGGGCGACGGGAGCGAGACAGACTGCGGAATGGTCCGTGGAATGGAATTCGGAACGGATGCCGTGACGCCGGGGTCTCTCTCCCTGTGTTCCTTTCCTTCACTCTATGCCGCTCCGTTCTGACGGGAGAAACACACACACACACACACACACACACACACACAGATACAATAGGCTCCGGTTTTCTGTAGCCCTGTGGAAAACGGAGGAAGAAGGGCGAGCTTTCGCACTGGACTGACCGGCTTCCGCTGACCGCCTGGCCGTGACCTCACATGGACACGAATCATGTTCTTACTAATATTGTTTGTTCATTTCCGGGACTATGATAACGTCCCTGGCTCCACGTCCATATCAAAACAAAACTATTGGTTTCTCGATGGCCGTCGGGCCCTGCGACAGACTGCGAGCTCTCCGCACGCAACAGCAAACGATTTTTGTCTAATAATAACACGGTTCAGTTTCTCCGAAAGTACTCACGTTCGCGGCCCACGGGCGCCAAAGGGCCCCATATATCTCAGCCCAAAATTTCGTCACTCAGAACCACATACACATGCAGCCACGCAGGACGCAGCATTGGATGGATGGTTCTGCTAGCTCTAGCAATTCATTCGATCTGGACCTGGTACCACTGCACGGAGCCCACCTCGCCGTCGACCTCGAGCTCGCACACCGACCGGACGAGGTACGAGACGGCGTCGTCCACCGTGTCGAACCTGGCGAGGTCCGGCGGCAGCGCGCCCCCCGGCCACCTCTCCAGCCACCCACGCAGCCTCTCCTCCAGCTCCTCCTTGGACACGAACTCCTCGTCCATCCCGGGCTCCAGCAGCACGTAAGTGTCCGACTGGATGTCCGCCCGCCTCCTGCGCCCCGCACACTGCATGCCAAACCAAAACTCACATCACACACAAAATACAGTCATTATCAGACACTGCACAACGCAGAAAATTGTTGCCATGATTGAATGATTGATTGACTGAACAGTAACGATATCTATCTATCTTGAACCGTTCCACGATGGAAATGGATGGATGGATGGGACTCTGACCTTTGTCCCGGGGCCTCGGCGTTGAATTCTCGGTGGTCTCGTAGTGAGAGGTGAGCTGGAGAAGAAGCTCGCGACTCCGGGCGGCGAGGCCGCCGGTGCTGTCGCCCTGGGCGATCGCCTCTGGGCACGGGGCAACGACCATCTTTTGCCTGCACGTAGCGATGTGGTGGTACATGCAGAGAAAATCACAGGAAATCAATCGAAGTGGTAGCCCTCTCTGACTATTGATGGAAATCGGGGAGCATTTGACGGGTATGCTGCCACGATTATGCGATCTTTTCGGTTGCTCTCTCCCGCTTTCTCGCTTTTGCTTTTGAAAGACGGAAGCGTCCCTCAATTCAATTCAATTCAATTCAATTCAAAGGTGGGCTGCCGGCCGCCCGGTGTCGATTTTCCGTACGTAGGAGTACAAAAGTTGGGAAGGTGCGGCAAGCTTTCTCCGAGGAGATATTTCCCAGACTAAAGGAAGGCGTGCTTCCATGATATTTCTCAGCAGGATTCCGGAGCTGCTAGCTAGTCATGCTCGGCTAAAGCTGGAGTGATAGATTTCTTTAGCCAAGTTGCAGGTCCCGGTCAAAAGGGTTGCGAGCGAAATAAATACCGGTCATATTCTGAAGATTCAGCATATCGTCTGATAGCATACAGCACCCATCGAGCTCGCGCAAGCAGTGCAATACTGCGCCTGTGATTTGCATGGCTAGTTTTGTGGAGGTTGACTGCAAAATTTAGGACCAACGGGTGCGGTTAACCAAGAGGTCACATGATTGACTAGTAGAAAAATCCACAGTATCCGGTAACCACATACTTCAGGCAGTAGACATGCGTAGCCATGCCAGTTGGAATAGCACCGATCGGGTTAGAAGTTTTTTTTTTTTGCGAGTAGATTGGGTTAGAAGTTGACTAAACGGCTGATTCTACTACTACTAGATCGGTACAAAAATTTCCTAAAATTCTCATCACCTAACCTTTTGAGTCAAAGATGCAATCTAGTTGGTGCCTTGCCAGTTTGCTAGTAGTGAACTATATTAATATATACATGGTTTTCTTACATTGATTTGATGAGCAGTGCAGCTTTTACACAAAGGACGCAGCTCAGCCGACCTTGACCCCTGATTAGCAGACCCCTATGATTCAACGCCCTCTCTTTCCAGGATAACTACCTCGTTGGACAATGAACCTCCACGGCAAAGAATAACATCACATAGTACCTACTGCCACTACTACTACTCGTACTTAGCAAGCGATTAGCTGAATGAGCACGGAGAAGAGCTGACGTTACCGCTGAAAGGCGCGGTGGTGGAGGCATATTCCGGCAGCCGGGCCAGAGCCGCAGCCTCCATCCTTCCGCTGCTGGAGCTGTGTGGCCTCAAATCTTCTTTATCCTTCAATGGCTCGCCCGATACAACTCCGTTGGGCTCTGTCCAGCTTATCCTCCCCTGCGTTGAGATTGGTGAGGGAAATATCCATCCAAAAGCCAGGAGAAGACCGGTTCCTTACAAAATTATCAACAATTGACAGGGACCGCGGCGCCACCAACAAACACACGCTGGGGCTGTGGCTGCGGCTGCCAGATCAAGTGGACAGCTAGTTACAACAAGGCACAAGTTGCAGACAGGTGATGCCTATTTACCTGAACCACAGGTCAGCTGTCAACACTTAACTTTTAGTAACTGCATTTCAACACCAATTCCACTTATATACATAATGCGAGCACACCAACTTGGGAGATTGTTGAAACGATATCCCATCGGATGAGCTATACATCAACCATTACATTTTCTTGTGGAAACCTTCCGGAAAAAAAATGGTTATTGCGATAATAAAGATCTCCCCCTTGAGATTCAGGGGTTCAATGGAGAGGTATACATGAACTCGTGTTAACACTATATATAACAGCGTAAACCAACATCTATCAGTGACCTTTCCAGGTCACTGCAGGTCGTCAAATGTCAACTCATTTGGGTCTTGCGCATCAATCACTGAAAATGGCAGTGATTTTGCTGGAACACAGACTTATTCAGTAGCCTTCGTATGCCGCGATCAGCTGAGCAATTTTTACTAGGAGGCTGCTCGCGGTTGCGTCCTTCGGGTGTGGAGATTTCAGTTCTTGGTACTTGTGTATGCTTCCAGCGAAATCTGTGAATAATCCGTCAACCCCCATCGTATTTATCCAGAAATCGAACTCGGCATAGGGATCCTGATGAAAGTCGAAGTGCAGAAACTGGTTCTCGTTCCTGTATGTGTAAGGGTGTACCTGCAGAAACGATGGAATATGCAGTTTAACATGCGTCCAGGTATAAACTACCTGTCATCAAGTTGTAGTTGACATGTAGTACGGCTTCGGTCCATTGGGATCATTTAAAGCAGAGTAAACACACTAGTTAAATCTGAGTTTATGAGAATAGATTGCAATGGTTAGTTCAGCTAGAACTTTAAATGAGAGCATTCGTCCCAAATCAATGCATTGCAAGGTGAGGACCAGGAGGACACAACCGAGAGTTCCTGATGCAGATGTCGACAGTCATATCATGTGTTTTCTTCCAATGAATTCAGTTAATAATTTGTCAAATCCTAATGAGATAAAAAAATACTCCCTCCGTCCTAAAATATAAGATGATATTACAACCAATGTAGTCATATATTGGCTGTAATAACATCTTATATTATGGGACGGGGGGGGGGGGGGGATTACATGACAACCATGACATTTAATTGGTTCTTCTGGTGATTCATACTTTCAGAGTGACCAAAAAGGCACTTGAACAAAACAATGCTGAAGGTGGTCAGAACTGATGTCGGTCTAACATCAACTACTTTATGAGCATGTGTGCAAACTGTAACTCTAGACGATTGTAAGGAATACAAACAAATAGCACACCTGGAGATTATGAGCATGCGCTCTTGCAACAAGATCAGTTGGTTCCAGCAAATAGTTTTTTGCAACTGGAACAATAGTATCTTTCCATGGACCGAGGCCGACAACATAGTTACTAATATATGCAAGGTAGTCATCTGAAGTGATTTCCCAGTATGACTGCAAGCAAAAAATAACATAAGTAATATCCATACAATCAGATGCTTCTGCGGAAGTTGCAAAAAACACCAAAAGTACATACTACTCACTTTTCTTCCATACAATTGACATTGATGTAGTATAAAATAATTTATTACTCAAGATCTATACCTGGTTTGTGTCTTGAGTTCTCACTGTGGTATCATCAATCAGAAAGATCTTCGGAGAGTCTGTCAAATTTGATACATGTACAAGGGAAGAGGGAGCAAATGATTGTATAAACAATGGCTGTTTTAGCCAATTTTCGGACATATATTGACCCCTGTATCCATACTTTAGTAAGGTATCCACAAATTTGTCCTCAAACTTCTTTCCATCTGCCCACTTTACCTGTCAAGAGTAGAATACAAGCTCATTGCTTGAAGCACTTCAGAAATTGGAAAATCCGCCTAAGATTGTACTGAATAAATGCAAAGCTTTTGAATTGTACAGCTCATCAAAGTCAACGTGAAGTACTTAAATATATCAGCTGCAGCATTGTTCTCTCCACCCATATACTATCAAAATATCTTTGCAAAAGCTAATCCATTCCCTACAATAACCATTTTCATAGCAAATTTCCCTATAGCTTCTAAGCACATTTCTTGCCAGAAAAGGCTTGATTAGAGAATTACGAGAATCCTTAAAGTACCCTATTGCTTATTGAGAGCAGGGGGACTTACATGCTTGTTGATAAAAACTGGATCTTTTATCTCTGGATATATTCCAACAGTTCTGCTTGCATCTAAGGCAACTGAAATGAATTCTTCAAATGTGATGATTGAAAATTTGCCTGCATGTCCAGACAATATCATTGATGATTCTTAATTCACAAATATGCCATCAGATTGCATCTTCCAGATTAGTTCATGTATTCTGTTAGTTTAAATAACTGATATGCAAAATGGGTCTACTATAAATAAGAGCATGCTAGTTTTAAAAAAGAAAAAAAGAAAAAGAAACTTTGACGAAGTAAATGAAAAACACATTTTGGGAGAAGACTAAAATGCATACATCAACCATGGAATAAATTCCCAGGTATTAGTTGGTGGGAACTGGAAGGAAGGTTATTGAACAGAGAACTAGTCATTAATTACAACACCTATGAGCTTTCTAAATAAACATAAGAATCCCTCCGAATTGATTCTTTTTGTGAGGCTCTGAATACATACTTTTTACGAGGCTCTAAGTTTATTTTGGAAGTACAATACCTTGATTTGTAGAGAGGATAATGTGATCACGGTAAAGAAAAATAAAAGCAGAAGCTCAAGGACACAGCCACATACCATTATATTGTTGATCTCTGAATGAGTATCGCTGCTTCACTTTAAGTGTTTTAAGTTCCTCAAGCGTGAAATCCACTGCATATGGATATAAGTATCAGAAAAATCAAGAAATAATAGGCTCACAGGTTCACCATTCACATTCAGTTCATATCCTAGCAATATGCAGGTAGTGTCAGTTCAGCAGCAGGTGCAGATAAACCAATATGATATTGCCATGATTTATCAACCACAGAGCTATATGCTATCTATGCTGGTGGGCCATGGTCAGTTAGCCACAGGCCAGTCTTGCCACTAGATGCTCATAGCTTGTGGCATTACATTGAAAATACCATATATACCAATTGTTAAATGCTGGCAGAATGCAGCAGGTGATGGTTCTTGGAAATCATGCACGAAGCAGTGTCAACTTCCTAAATTTGAGTCAAGGGATAGTATAATTTGATGTATTTTTCTTGCATTCTATTGCTAACTTTTGATGCTGCAAATATATATCTGAATAGATTTACAAGAATGAATGAAGAAATCAGGGTTGGTAATAATAAGCAGACCTACAAACCAGCCAGTAACGTTGGCCCATTCCACCTCATAGGTTCTCCTTCGATTGGCGAATTCCTTACGGCCGGAAATATCAGTTGTATCATCAAGTGTTACATCATGAAAGCAGATCAATGCACCATCTTTGCTAGCAAGGATGTCAGTCTCTATAAAATCTGCACCTTCTTCAATAGCCCTCTGCAATAGGATTTTTTAATGAAAAAATCTGTTAACATTAAAGGCTTTGTTGTTGTTGTATCTGTTAACTTAATTTTCCAACGGTGAAAAATCACATGATTGAAACTTATCAGAATTGAGTTTTCTAGCATTTGCAATAGTCAATTTAATACTCTAACCATCAAATGGTATATCCTCTTAATAAGGGCATCATCTTCCATATGCAAAAAAGAGATATAGTACTATTTTATTTGTCATATAAACTCTATGAACTGTACCAGGTAAGCAGCACTTGTTTCCTCTGGGATTTCCCCGTTTGAGCCACGGTGAGCAATGTTATACGGTCGAAATGTCTGTATGGGCTTCTTCTCTTCATTACTAGTCTTACTTGGCAGTGGAAAGAATGGTCTAGCAATGACCACATGTAATAGTAGCAGAAGAAGAAAAGGAACATGACCTGCCAAGGATGATAATAGACTATAATAAGATAGCTTGACAAAAGTTAATATTTCATCGTGACCTTTGTAGACAGTTTAGAGATACACAATCGACATTCCTTTAAATCTTTGGTGTATAAATGTTACATATTTAACACTGTTATTAGAATCCTCATATCCTGTCCGAATGGAAGAGTTCAACCATATTCCAGCAGTGACAAATATAACTACCACAGAGGTCCCTCTGAATAGTTTTTAAAAAATAGCCATGTGAACATGCAATGCTGAAAACATTACATGGCACTAAATATGGGTAGTGTCAAAACTATCAGAGGAAATAAATTGAGTCAAATACGTCCACAGAAAATCATTTAAAGATAAAAGATGCCACCTGTTGTTCATGAAGATTTCATTGTGATTGGAAATGAGTTAGCATAAGTGCACAGATTTAATTTGGAGTTATATGGATAGAATATGTAGAAGTATGGATGCTATATAAATAAGACGTGAGTAACCATGATATATGCGACCGGACAAGAAAGTAATCTAGCTGCCCTCCTCCCTATATTTACTATACTTCTGAACATATTGATGAAAGAATATGCACGTTTGCGCTATGGATACAGCCAATGAAATATTCTTTGTGGACTAGTGCTGTTCAAAAGAAGTGATTCCTCAGTTTTTAATGTATATAATTTCTTGGTTTCAGTTATGTTGCATTATATATTGTAAAGGTCATAAACTCGTAATTCACACAATCGAGTTTGTGCGTTTCTTCAGTGGCACTTGTTTAGAACTTATCTTGACTTTTTTTTAAAGATAATGCCAGGGCTTCCCACAGCAACGATTTCAAT